GAAGGATGTAAAAGAAGGCGGCACCCGTAGACACGTAAGTACCGAAAGGAGAGTATTGCGGCGTAGCAACGAGACCGGTCAACTGGGTAAATCAGACGGCAGAGGAGACCAAAGCTGCGCCCCCAAACGAAACAGAACGATAACAGAGGGCTGAAAGCGGTACAACCTATGATCTGCAGGCTACACTTTTGTTATATGAATGCACCACACACGCGTCATCCGCGCCGCGACGGTGCGTACCACACCGTTTACAGCTGACAGATCTATCTGCGCATTCCTGCTACTGAGGTGGCAATGTGGGACTACGCCCGTTGGTCTTAACGCGTGTCAAGACTCGAGAGCCGCCTGTCCTGACCCCGCCGTCGCGACATGGCACGGAAAGCTCCTAAAGAATGAAGGACGTTGGATATGCGGCTAAGTAGGGAATGATTGGCGACCCAACTCGCGGGGGCGCTAAAGTTAGCGCTTCATTGGCTGACGGCGGACAACTTGCATCAACCACGCCGCAATTCATATAGAGCAGCGCCTGCAGGATAGGAAGTGCCAACAACGGGGACCCGGGGGGTGGACCAACATCGGGTGCTGTCCTGAACGGCTGGGATCTGCTGTCGTGGTTCGGTCTCGACGCAAGGCGGCTCACAGCCCCCATTCGCTCAACTTTGTTGCATGGTCTAGCGAATCAGCGCGACGAAGCACCTTTTCAGCCTGCGAGCCCCTTCACCTAAGCATGACCGCTGCCCGTTTCGAGGTGTGGGTAAGTTCCTCGGACCTGATGTCAGACCACAAGAAGAAGGCGTTCTTGTATATGGTTCGCTGCCCTGAAGCTCCTCCAGTTCTCGTTCCCGAGGCGCTCAGCCTAGAGCTAGGATCATGAGTTCGCTGATCAGAGTTGGCCCCCAATGCCTGAGTGGTCGAAGGTCACGCCAAACCTGTCCACCATGACGACCTAGAACTTAGGGCAGTGTCCGGCGCGTCTGGTGAAGGACGACTGCGCCGCAATATCGAGGATGTTGAAAAGTGGGTATAGCCCATCTTGCTCGCGGCAGAAACCGTTGTGCAGTGTTGTGTAACACCCATAAGCGCCGTGCGAGGTTGATCCATGCAGGCTACTGGTGGGAGTGTACGAATGCCATACCAGTTGTAGACACAGTCGTGCGTCAAAGAGCCTTTTTAGATTAACCCGATGCGCGTCCGTGAGGGGTCATGGTAAGCGATGAGATTGTTGCAGATTGCTCTTGAGCCGTTCGGGTAGTTGATAGGAAATGTTGCGTGTCGCAGTCATTGCAGCCGCGGGACAGAAGCTCGGGCCGTCCGCAGGGTCAGGATCGCCGAGACGAGGTCCAAGAAGAAACCGCATGCAGGTGAAGCTTGACTGTCAACGGCTATTGACCGAGATAAGTCAATCCTACGTGTTGTTGCATCGGCCCTTTGAGCGGGGAGCAGGAACTTGGAAGACGCCCGCGGGCGGGTCGCCAAGGAACTTTCTGCGTCGGGACCACCCTCAACAGCCGCCGTCAGACCCTCCCTCCCTTCCAGCTTGCACATATGTCTCCATTGAACTTCACCTGACCATGCAAGACTACCTGTTTGTCTGCGCATGACTTGCCCTCTGGATGCAGCCAACACTCGGTGTGGGACGTCTACAATGTTGGATTTGCACCTGATCACCCTACATACTGCCGTGAATTGGACCGTCTATCGCTGTTGATTCTCTCTCACTAGTGAGAATCACATGGAGACTCGGAGCTTGCATCAGATGAGATGCGATTGCTCTTCGTTTCCTGGATTAGGCGAGCCTGTGTGGACGTAGGTAAGATGAGCAAGAGGAAGTCTAGGACGTCTCAGGAGCGAGGTTCCGATTCGCATACTGTCTCCTTCCATCTTTGTGTCAACTATACTTCTTTCACAAGATGAGTGGCTTTTCCGTCGAATTTACCCTGGTCTTGTTGTCTCATGGGTGTCACCCCTCATGCCAGCACCAATTCGCTGACACTCATCATTCCCTGAAGCCGATGTGAGGATTAATCTCATGCTCTGTGATCAACCATACAGCTGGGCGACAACACAGTCGGTCATCTTCCACACGACAGTTGTGTCACGTCCTTAGATTCCAACGCCAGTCATCCTGAAGTCCATAGTGTTCAGCCTTGTCTGAGCGCATTGCGAATTCGGATCATTGACAGCGAGTCCTCCGACATCGCAGGTCCTTACACGTCCGCTGAACATGCTTTACAACTGGACTCAGACTTCATGCAGCAAATTGCCAGACTTTACGCTTCTCGTCATGTGCGAAGGTGACAACATCCCGCTCGAAGCAGTAAGTCCCTCCAGGAGATTGCACAGTTTGTCGAAAGATGCTCAGCTGACATTGAGGGTACAGACCGGCAAGAAGCCTCTCGAACTGCGTTCTAAATGACGAGAATGCTACCGTACGCTCCGGTCGGACGGTCTCAACCAGACTTTACAAGATATACGAGAGCGCAGCTGGTCTCGTCGAAAGAAATAAAGGCGAGACCATGGAAGAAAACTCAACCGACATCCTCAGAAACCTACACTCCACCGGCGTTTCAAAATACTGAGATGGCGCTACAAGTATAGGGAAATACAAGACCAATACTTTCACATTTCACATTATTATGGAATGCTCTTTTCCGCATCGACTCACGTTCATCTCAAGTGGATTCGATACTGCTTGAACCTTGGAAGAGGTCGTACTTGTGGTAGACCCGAATATCTTCTCCCCCTCTTTCAATCTTCCTCCACTGTCCGCTAATGGCCGCGCAATCGCTCAATTGGGACGTCACCCAGCCATATCGACTCCTCTTCACGCTCACATTCACCTTCACTTTTGACGTCAGTGCGCAAGCTACCTTTTGGTCACTATCGCAGTTTGACAAACGCCGTCACGTCGTCTACGTACCAACACGTCTATATCCGCGTCTCTTTCTCAGCACCATCTCCATTCCCTTCCCCTTGAACGCACACGTATCCGCCGCGCCGAACTCAAAATATGGATTTCCCGCACGCGCAGATGCAAGCGACGCTGGCAGCGACCAACTTCTCGCCAAAATCAGTACCGTCGCTATACCCTCAGCTTGCCAAGTCACAGAAGAATTTGCATCGCAAAGACAGCTTCGTTCCGAAACCTCCCAAAGTGCAGGAGAACACTGGCGATAATGACGACGACCAAGCACAGCGCCAGGCTTTTCGCAAGAGTAGCATCAAGAACTTTGGCAGTCTTTTCGCGCGCAACCGCAGCAGTATTGCTAGTACTAGCCCATTGACGCAGGTTATGAGCTCCGAGTCCGAGGGCAGAGACACAAGCGTTGAGACCGAGCGCGCAAGTCAGCAGACCACACTCGTCAGCTCGGACATTCCTTCTCCTAGTACTCTCATGACTGTTGCCGAGAGAGAGAAAATCCGCGAGCGTCGTACGTACCCTCGAGCTCTACTCCAACCCCAAACTAACAAGTCCATAGACCGAAAGTTTGTCAAGCTCCAAGGCCTCGGACACGACCACCCCACCGTCTTCACCGCCGACCCAGGTGACTACTCTCAATATGACTACGACGATAGCGTCGATAATCGGCGCTTCAGAGACGAATGTGGAGAATGCGAAGGCACACACGTCGCCCACGACCTTGCAAGTCCAACACCAAGCAGCCGCCACCGTCGCAACGAGTCCCTGCACGTCAACCTCAGTGCAGAAGAAGTGAAGAAGTACGCCGACGAAGTCCGCAACATGACCATCGCCGATGTCCACCTCTCTCTCTTCGGCTACTGGATCAAGGAGAGCGACGAGCACTTCCAGGAGGCCAAGAAATATCTAAGGGAGTTAGGGCTTGATCGCGTGAGTCTCCATTCGACACCCGTTGTATATATATGATTGGCTAATATGAATATTTGATAGGGCTACAACCTCTCCCGCCTCAACAACTTCTGTCTCGAAGAACTCTGCCGCGACGTCCACGACATCCGCCCCTCGTACGCTAAGCCCACTTCACAAATCCTCCTCCATAGATGCGCACGCATTGGGAACTTGCGTTGTCCGGGCACGACCTGGTGTCACGCAATGTTCTAGATGCCTCTGCCATGTCCTTCCTTCGCTCGTCTCCCACCTCACCACCATCTACCTTCTCGCCCATGTCTACTACTACTAGCAGCGTTTCATAACCATCCAGAAGACCACCCATATTCTAGATACACATGTCATAGCTGCATTCACACATTACACAAACTAACATCTGCTTCTTACGTCTAGTGAATCCCGTACTACGATCCTCAAGCGACAAGCTGCCGCCGACTCTCCCACACATGGGGGCACTACGACGCCTACACGTTCTTTCTCGTCGCCAGTTAGTCCGCGGATCGACAAGTTGCCGCCTTCACTTCACCTTCAGCGAGAAAAAGTCATAGAAAGCCAGGCGTTGAGGTCGACATCCCTTGGTTCACCTGGTGGACGAGGCGATTACCCACCTAACAGTATGCTACATCCCCGTCAACCCCTCATAAACTTCATGTTTGACTAACAACGTCAGCGCCCGACCGCCCTATGCCACTCGCGTTCCGCTCCCCCAGTTCACCCGTAGGTTTCTTGCCGTCGCCCTCGCACTCCTCTGTCTTCTCCTCGCCTGGCCCCCCGCCGGCCCATGGGGCTCCAGATGAGTTGTCCCTGCGACCGTCTTCGGTGACGTCGTATGATTCGTTCTACGATGAGACGACAGACTGGAACATCAGCGTTGCGGGCATCTATCAGCAGGTGGTTGAATTGGAGGATGTCGGTCAGATCGATAGGATTATTTCTGATCTGCAGAACATGAAGGCTTTATACTCTGAGGAGACCTGAAAGCGTGTATGGGCTCAAAGTATGAGGGAATGGGGGGTATTTCGGTGGATTGTAAGCATAGGTTTGGATTGTGGAAACGATCTGAATACCTCCTATCTACTACATCACTCATGAATTCATGGAATGAGTATACAGCTCATACCACCCTCCCCAATCAAGCCCACCACCCAATCAGCGCCATAACCGCCGCCCCAAGAAACACATACCCAACCATCAACCCCAACCTCGCCAAATCCCTCGTCCTCTCCCTATCAAACAAAAAGTCCTTAGCCAACAACTCCACCAACCCACTATACACCAAAAACCCCGCACTAACCGCATTCAACACGCCCTGCACCATCAAACTAACCTTACTCTCCGGTAGATACGTCGTCCGAACGCCCAGCCCCACCGCAATAGCCAGCGGCGTCGTGAGCCCATATAAGGCACAAAGCGCCCACGGCATCCAGGCCTTGTCGCTAGGAAAGGAGATACTGGATAAGCGGGCCCCGATTCCTAATCCTTCGAAGGATTGATGGAAGACTAGGACTGGGTAGAGGGTTTTGAATTCGTCACCGACGACGCCGAGGTTCAGGCCGATGATGACGGAGTGGAATATGATTCCGAATTCGAGGACGAGGAAGGCGCCGATTTGCTGGGCGAAGGAGAGGCGGGCTGCTGTTGAGGTGGTGCAGAGGGAGGACGAGGAGTGGTAGCTGCGTAGGCTTGCTGTGTGTTTGCGGTGGTGGTCTTGATGGTCCCCGTTTTGGTGGTCTTGAGTTGGGTTATTATCGTTGGATTCTGGGTCCACCATGGCTGCTCCTGGTGCGACTCCGCTGGTGTTGTTGCTGTAGTCAGAGCGAAGAAACGCGTTGTTGGAAACCTCGCTCTCTTCTTTCTTCACGCCAAAATGCCTTTCGACATATACTTCTGCACCTAGATCTACACAGAATACCGCCATGATAGATGTCAGCACTATGGCTGCACACCATGGATACTCCGCCCAAGCTCCGCTTTCTCCCACACAACTCCCCGGGCCTATTGCTTCGTACGCCGGATCCAGCAGGTGGATAAACGCTGTTGCGACTATGACCCCCGAACCGAAGAAGCGCGCGAAGGTGTAGAGACCGAGTGGGATCTTCCAAGACGGTTTCTGGCGCGCGACGACGGGGAAGTAGGTTACGAGGGTTGAGACGAAGCCGATGACGAAGATGGACGAGATACGCGCGCCGAGCATACCGTTGTATTCGTTTTCGCCGACGGTGAAGTAACAGATTACCTCGGCTTTGTCGGCTGTCGTGAGGTCGACGTGCGAGGGGTCGAATGCTTGTGTCGCCATGATGGGCGGAGAGAGAGAGGAGGTTGGTTGGAAGCGATGAGAGGTATTGAGACTTGCACAACGTTGTCTCTAGCTACTGTGTGTCGGAACTGCGATTGATGTCCTCAAGTTCGTAGTGTAGTTGCGACCTTGACGTCGGGAATTTTATCGTCTGCATGCCAAGTACCTTGTTGGACGATTGACAGCAGGCATTTCAAGCCACTGGGAAAGTGCAGTGTGTATTGTACTGCCCATGTAGGTACCGGCCTACTCGGTTCCCTCGGCATCTATCCCGTTCCGGAAGTTGTAAACGTCGAAGCTTTTTTGACATTGCTTCGCTGTTTCTGGTATATCATCGTGTGGGAAAGTGGTAAATGTTTTGCGCTTCTAGCTACCCTGCATGTATATACTCGGTAATTTCGTAGGCTGATATGCTGATTAAAATCTATTCGTCATCGCTGCTGATCTGGAGAAGACGTCTGACTGCGTTGTTGTATGCGCTCGGTAATGGGTGATGAGCGTGGTCGGTGCGTCGGGAGACATGCAGGTGTTCGCTTTTTTACCCCTACCTACCGCGTCGTTGCGTATGCCTTTTACTACCAACATATATAACGGAATCCTGTAGAGCTTGGAACATTTCCTTATATTCATGAGAACGAGTTGTACGCGAGACTGTTAAAGCAACTGCTTTCTTGAGGGTACATCGGCTAATGCATTCATTCATCGTAGCTACTTGTCGCAACCGCCCAGCAGAATACATTATAACTATTTTGGACGAACAGAGATACATGTGCTCTATCGGATCAATAAGCCCCTTGACTTCAAGTCCATTCCCTTTTCTCTCTCTTGACAAACAGTAAGTTTCGTCACTACTGGCGCCTGTTGTGTGGTAGGACTTCGAGTGAACATACTTAGATCAGGTCTTTGCTCCTCGCTTGGTGGAGGTGGCCGAGGAGGTCTCCTAGCAGACCGCGCGGGTATCGGTGTATCTGGCAGTAGTATATCTTCGTTCAGCGAGTGCCTGGATCCTGCCGGGGAATTGGGTGTTGACATGCTCGCTTGTATAGCAAGCAGGGGTTCTCGTATGATCGCTTGTGGGAACGACTTGTATGATTCGTAGGGCGTGCCACCAATGGTGATGCTACCAGACCAGTTTTTCGAGTGTCTTGATTTGGGTTTGGGGGCCGGCGATTGGGATGCTTGGAAGTGAGAGTACGGCTTGAGGCAGAGACTGCAAACGATGAGGACGGCTAGTGTCGTCTGGCCTTGTGTGACCACGGCGTACGGTAAAGAGTCGAAAGCTGGGTCTCCATTGCGATCGTATGCTTGTCGAAGATAAACCAGACGGATGATAGATGCTGCAACTAAGCTACACGGGACGTCAGCAAGGTCTCAGCTAAGTGTCAGGTCCTTTGCTTACATGAAGCGCATGGACAACAGTAGTGTCGCCAAGGCCTTTTGGCGGTAGGATTCCCGCAGTGTCCATATGTGATGTACCGAAAGAGTGATCACGGCTGTTTCTAGAACAGCATCCGTGATGGTGGCGATCATCCAGAAAGGTATCTATACCATACTTAGAACGAGTTCAGTCACGGTATGAAAACCGGACTTACCAAGGGGATACACTTCCCCGTCCACACCAGCCACGGCGTCGGTAGCTCACACTGAAAGACCATGCCTGCCAAGACTGCAATGGTCCATATCAGGACCAGCGTACTAACAAGTAGGACGCTTGCCCTGCGTAGTGTGCTATCTGCTAGATGATAGAGGAACAGTAGGACCGAGCTTTTAGCGATGCTTATTGTCAAAACGAAGAGTATCGTCGTAACATAAAGCTTGAGTTGGATCTGCTCCAAGTCATCATCGCTGAGGAGACAGTCCCTTTTCCCCAGGCCCGATTCAACAGCCGTAGATATTATCACGGTGCTTCCAAGGGCAAAGACCGATGCGGTAACGATAATGACATCATCAGTCGACGAGAGATGGCGAAGGTGTTCAGATCTGTATCGAGCGACGACTCGTGCTACAGTACATATAGCCTATGACAATGATCAGCGTTGAGAAGGATACCCAGATGGAATTCATACCAATAGGCAAGCAAGAAACCAGGCTACCATTACCAGAATAGTACCATGATTCTGAGCTGAAATGAGCGCATTCTCATGCTGGGCTTGTTCGCACATCGTGTCTTGCGCCGTTCGGAGATTGCATTGAAATGAGCCTTGATGAATCTTTATCGAAATAGCATGTTGGCGGCTACAAGGAGATGAATAGGGCCAGATGTTCTCGAACTTCGGACAAGCTGCATACGCTGTTCGTAATGCTCCCTTAAAGTCCGAGTCACCAGGACTACGCGTCTTGCATTTCATGCGAATGATTGCCTTTTGTCGCGGCAGAGACGATGAGGGGTTCGTATAGTTTCGTCTAGAGAACCACAAATAGAAGCGGAAGGGATGTGAGTCGTGATCCGCAGCGAATCGTAGAACAACATGACGGCAGTGGGCGGGATTCGATGCTGATCGGTCGCACGCGTGCCTGCATCTAGGCTAGACGGCCGTCGTGGAGCTGAGCCCAGGTCCGTAGTGTTGGGATGAAGGATGGCGCCACAGTAATACGGGGATGTTGTACATGCCGGAGCGCTGCCAACCCGCAGATGGTGGCAGCTGAGGTTAAATGATAGCGTTTCAGGACAGGTTTGGGGTTGTAAAAAAGCAATACTCTCTCGTATACCTTGACTTGCCTGTGGCAATCGCTTCTATGACATGTTCTACTGGAGTGAACCCTGCAAGAAACAAAACGAGGGAAAATCATGCCATCGTAGTGCATCATAGGTGATCACAACGAGGATCGTTATGCGACAGACAGCCAATAGTTGGTGGTCGGGAACGGGCCGCACCTAGCCAAGTCCGATATGCTGCAGTCTTATCGGAGTGTTCCATAAAGCAGTCCTGCCCCAGGTCGAAGCATGACTAGATGACTCGGCTGCGAGAAGAGCTGCTGTTTGCTGTTTGGTGCGGAGTCCGACTCGCCGTTGGTGGCGTCGAGTGAGGCAGCTCTTCGGACTTCATCCTGGCGGAGTTGAACGCGTTGCCTCAAGCACCACGAGCGTGTACATGATGACAGGAAGTCTGTGAAGAGTGAAACACATGACTTAGCCCGGTAGATGCGACAAGGATGAGCAAAGGGGCACGATGAGGAGGCGTGGTAGCTCACTGAGGCGATGTGCCCGTTGAACCACGTCGGAGAAGGTCATACAGTTGCAGCTGCGTATGAAGTCGTGGATCTCGTGTAGCCGCGAAGTTACATCCGGATGGAGGGTCGTGAGACGGAAGCCGAGTTGTACGTCCGGTGTCTGTGCACGGGCCGGGTGGTTGACGTCGGCACTTGTCGTTATCGATAAGAACTTTTGCGCAGGAGCAATCAAGCCCTATGCGACAGGAACTATCCGACTTTCTCTGAACACAACACAGCCATGGTAAGTTTCTAGCAACTTCTGTACAATAAAATAAACCCTTACTTAAGCGAATAGGCGCCCATCAAGAAGCGCACAACAGCGCGCGCAAAGTCCGCTCGCGCCGCCCGTCCCACCACTACCACCGCAACTCTCCCAAAGCCCGACGGCATCCCCTCGTACCCATCCTCCAAGCGCGACAAGCTCAAGATCAAACACTCCTCATTTGTATCCAAAATCGAAAAGTCCTCTGCCAAGACCCAAAAACGGCGACGCCCCAACAACAAGCTCATCGCAAACCTCGAGTCGCTCGCCGACGCACTGCCAGAGTCTGGAGAAGATGGGCTCGAAACAAGTCAAGCGCGGATAGTGCAACCTCAGAAGATGCCCGACAGCATGAAGAAAACAAAGGGTGCGAAGAAGCGGAAGGAGAAGCTGGAGAAGTTGGAGAAGGAGAGGTTTAATGCGAATCTGGCGCAGCTTGTGGGCGGGAGTGGGAAAGGGGCACAGGGCGCTGATGCAGTACAAGATCGCTGGGCGGCGCTCAAGAGTCATGTGCAGAGTAATATGCAGACAAAGCCTGAGTTCGCGCAGCAGTGAAGGTGAGGCTTCTGAGACACGAGAATAGATACCTCACCAATGGCTGAGTGGAGCGAATTGGCAGGCGAAAAACACTGAAGAGATACCCGTGGAGCCAGGGACGTGTTGGCAGGAAGTAGGCCAGGCATTCTAGCCAGGCACGAATTTCCCATCCGTGTCTGCATCGTCCAGATTAGGCGCCCTACCCTCCCGCATTTCAAAGCCTCACAGCACCGACGGTCCGAACTGATGTCAGCATGATGATAATTACCCCGATCGATCGATGTAAAATGGGCAATACCGTGGCAAAAAACAAGGCGCCCAGCATCGCGCTGTGTAATGCGTGGCGGAAACTTTCCGTAGGATCATGATTGCTTAATCATCGACTATTGTATACTGCAGCCACCTCCCTTGAGCTCTACACCAACATGTAGTAGTAAACAGCCACGCAAATGTATAATATACCACCAAAACTATCCTCTGACATAACTCATACCTTATCTTCTTACAGTGATCAACAATGAACGAAGCCGCAATCCTCACGCGCCCAAACTCCCCTCTCACCTTACAGATCCTTCCCATCCCCAAACCCTCCGCCTACGAAGTCTTAATAAAAGTCTCCCTCATCGGCATCAACGCCATTGAAGCCAAGATAGCCAAACGTAGCACCCCGCCACCGCCTTCCTACCCCTTCATCACGGGCTCTTCATACACCGGCACCATCGAGGCCGTAGGTACACACGTCACGGAATACCAAGTTGGCGACCGTGTTCTCGTTAGCAAGAGATTCAGTACACAGGAAAACGCATATGGCGCATATCAACGCTATGTCCTCGTTGCTGCGGGGGAGAAAATGGTAGTCAGACTACCGCAACGCATAAACAAAGATGAAGAAGCAGCATTGGTAGCGTTGATAATGAACGCGAGTTGTGTCCCCGGTCTCTTCTCCGGGCGGCTGGGATTGCGCAAACCAGGTGATGAGGTCCAAGAA